ATAACTAGTTATGGTTAATTATTCATATTTCCCCATGAGCTGATGGTCATGAGCTGATGCTACAGTAGCATGACAGAAGACTGGACCAACAAAGTGAATGTAAAGTGGCATTTGTTTTGTGGTTATTTTTTGTTTGATTCATTGTTTTCTTTTGTGATTCTTTTTTTTTGTTCCCCCGTCATGAACCTCCCTGCTCTACACCTCAGAGCATGTGAGCAAAGCCGAGATCAATACGCTCAGTGTCGCTCGCTCAACCCAGAGTGCCCCTTGATGATTTGCTAGTTATAATTCACAACAGCTGCATCTATATGTTCATGGAAATAAAGTAATGAAAATCAAATATACTTTTTCAGTTATTGCATTTTAGACACTCTCGCTGAGGGGCTTCAAAAGGGGCTTGTTTTTTTTTATTAATACGTTAAATTTAATAGTGTTCAATTAAAAATGTATGTCAATATAGGATGTAATGTCACAGAATGTCGGACTGAAACATAACTGTAATTTATCGGCCTACTACTTTAATTGATTTTATTCAAGAGGTTTATTATAAACGGAAAATAATTAGGCCTATTAGAGACATTTTTATGTCGAAGCAGGATCTGAGTTGGTTTACCGGTGAGCGTGAGCGTAACATGAGCGGAGCATTTGCTTTGTCCGTGAGCGACTTAGCAAAGCACACAGTCATAGAGCCTTTAGCAGGGAGAACGCTCCCTCGAGGAGCACACGAGGAACCCAGTGCCTAGCCAGTCACCACCCTGCTGCTAGAAGTGACAGCCTGACCCCACCGCAGTAGGAGAGAACGCCTCAGCCGTGACGTCAGAGCCATCACCATGAGGAGCTACCGAGCCTGACGCCATCAGCGAGCCAGAGAGGACCCCATCTGAACAGGTGTGCGTGCCGACTGTTCCATCCATCACCGAAGGAATTCTCATGGAATTCAAGGGACTTGTGGGCCCTCCACTCTCCGGCCCTCCACCTACGGCCTGCTCAGCCCTCTCTCAGGTGCCGCCTCCTTCCTCAGTCGCTTCAGATCGCCCTCTGGCTTCTGGATCCCAACCTACATCTCAGGCCAACGTCGCTACAGCTCCTTCGCGGCTGCCTGGATCCTTGCATCTCTCTACCTCCTCGGCTCTCTGTCTGTGCAGTGGGCTCCATCTCCATTGCCATCTTCGCCTCCAGTCATCCTCATGGCGGCGTGTGTTCCTATCACGCCTTGGCTCCTCCCACCATCGACGCTGCCATGGAGTGCCGTTCTGACTGTGGCCTGGGCACCTGCCATCACACCCCTGCTCAAGGCCTCTCCCTGGCTTTCATCTCCGTCATCACCCTGGACTTTGTTGTTCGGCCTCCTCCTGCATCCCTCTGCCTGTGTGTGCCAGCCCTTTGCCAGAAGAGACTAAAATGCTAACCATTTTTAGAAATTTAGTACAGCGTCAAAGTACAACAATTTATGAGAATAACAAAATTTTACTCCAAACAAGTGTTTTAAATAACATCCTTTTCACAGAATGAGGCATAAATTATATTATTTTATAGTGTTATATATCGTGATAGCGGCTATATCAATTAGCATTACTTCATGAATACATATATTTATTAAAATATCTGAGCTTGAAGAACACCAAGATAAACCATATACTGTTGCAGTTGTGTGTTGATTGTCTTCACATTTCATCAAATAAAACTTTTTTCTGCATTTTACTCATCTACACTGACAGCTGGATGCCTACAGGGATTTCCTGGAATATCATAAATTCTCTTACTCTTATCAGTCTTGCTTGTGGACTTTCTGCGTGAGGGTGCCCTCAGGCGTTAGAATATGAATGAAACAAATTACACGTGAGAGTTTAGAGCTCCATAATGATGCTGGATTATTATGCGTCATATTATCCTATGTGTACTATTAATTTTTATCAAATAAATATCGCCAGTACCGGTATATCGCGACACCCCTATGGCCACCATAGTGATGTTGCTGAGTTCAACAGGGACCAGAGACCATTGGCTGGGTCATCTCTCAGGTCAACCAGGGGTGGGGAAATTATCACAGAACCGAGAGCAAGATTGATTTGTCAGCGCTAGATCTCACTTGAGCTGAAAAATCAATCAAAACATGGATATGGAGAGATTCTTAAAATGAAAACTTTTGAAAATAAGTTACTGGGTTGATTGGTTTAATGATTTTAGATGGATCACATCTCTTTTGGGGGAGGGAGTTTGAAACATATACTGTATCTTAGATGAAAAGCTAGGTTGGTGTTGAAAAGGTTGCCATTAGTGCCACTGGTTCACTTGATCATTTGAAAATTACCATGTTCTTCTTAATATATATATTTTAAACTATCAACAACTATAACAACAGTGGAAGTTGGTAACCTCTATCAAGAGTTCTGCCTCTCTTCATGTAAATTCCTTCTTTTTTGGTCCCATCAAATACTTCAGGTCATCATCATCTGACTTTCTTATCTTTTTTTCTGGAGTGCTCATAAAAAATTGTCTATCTATTCATCTATCCATCCTATGTAGGTTTTCAGCAATGCTCGATGGACTCATTGTCAAACAAATGTCTAATTATGGCAAAATTAACTTGGCTATGAAGCTTTTTTTAGCAAAAAAAAAATAATTAATACATTTCTGTGTTAGGTTCAAGCGGCAACCTCCCCGTCTCTCTCGTGAAACCAACATGGAAGTGACTACAACTGCAATTCATCGACTGGCCGCTAGAGGCTGGCTCCAAAAGGGAGTCAGTCCCATAGACTCCCAATGTCAAAATGCCCAACTTTAAAGCAGAAAAAAAATGTTTACAGTCTGGTAAAAAAAAGTGGTTTTGGTCTATATAGCTAATTTTGCCCTTCATGACAACTGTGAGGGGGGTGAATTTTTTATAACTCATCCGTTTAAATTATATTAAGCCTTAAAGTTCTGCATAATTAAGGGCGTGGCCACTTGTGTGACAGGTGGATTGCTGCTGCTGTCACCACCATCGAGCTAGGTGGGCGTGGTTTCAGCAACCAGCTCCCGCCTCTTTGCCCATTTTCGATTATCCGGGAGTGACGCACGGTGACGCGCTCCCAAGATGGCGATGGCCAGGTCTGCCAACTTTGAGCTTCAAAAACGCTCTTCAGAAACCTATGGGTGATGTCAAGGACACTATGTCCATGTTTTTATGCAGTCTATGGTTAGGTAATGTTTTTGGAAAAGTTTCAGACTCTAATGCAGTCATTGGTTTCCACTGGGATGTAAATGTATGTTGGATTAGGATTTTCATTGTATCAGCCCGATGTAGCAATGGTGATTTGAGTAGAAACCAATATTAGAGGTGTCTAATGTTTCAGAGAAATAATAACCTGGATTCAAATCTATTTGCATAAGCTAGTGTATTCAGTTTGTCTTTTGGAAAAGTCCCAAGATGGCGATGGCCAGGTCTGCCAACTTTGAGCTTCAAAAACGCTCTTCAGAAACCTATGGGTGACGTCAAGGACACTATGTCCATGTTTTTATGCAGTCTATGGTTAGGTAATGTTTTTGGAAAAGTTTCAGACTCTAATGCAGTCATTGGTTTCCACTGGGATGTAAATGTATGTTGGATTAGGATTTTCATTGTATCAGCCCGATGTAGCAATGGTGATTTGAGTAGAAACCAATATTAGAGGTGTCTAATGTTTCAGAGAAATAATAACCTGGATTCAAATCTATTTGCATAAGCTAGTGTATTCAGTTTGTCTTTTGGAAAAGAGCCAGACCTGCACAGCTCATAGACGTTTAAATTCAAAGCAGCTGAGAGGACAGGAGAGGTACAGATGCTCCTGCCAGTTAATTAGAATGTATCCCCCTGGGATCACTCCGGCTTCTATCCTGCCCACATAAAAGCTAGCCTAAGGGAGCGAAAATGAAGATAACTGAGTGTTCTAGAGAGCTTTTGGAAAGCGTTTGGGGCCATTTGTCCTCCCCCAGCCTCAGCCCTCAATGAGTTTTGAAGAACGCTTATTGATTGGTCATGCCATGAGGTAAGTGTTGGAGGAGGAATTGATGATGCTGCAGCTTTTTTGTTACCCGAGTTGCACTCATGCTGTGAGTGAGATAAGACAAGGCCTGCACATGATGGTTTAGACCCACTTCTGTTTTTGCATTCGGATTAATATTTTTTTAATGCTTCTTACACGTAATTTTTTCCTATGCATTGTTATTTTGTTTAGTTACAGTGCAACACTGCAGTGAACTTTCTCAAACTTTTTTGTCTTCTCCATAATGTTCTGTAATTAATTCTGCTTCAACTGCATAACATAGAGAGTTCAATTCAAACTTAGTTTTTTAGCCTTAGGTGTGTCATCTGTTGTTCTGAATGATGAGATGAGAAATTTTGGAAAATGGTCATTGCACTAAATTAGTTTTCACCACTATTTTTGGTAAGCTAAAATACTGCAAAATAATGTTACTAAATTCTAAGTGGATTAACTATATGTCTCCTATAAAATAGCTCCCTAAGTTACAAAATGCAAAGAATGTTTAGCATTCAAGCGTTTGGGGCCATTTGTCCTCCCCCAGCCTCAGCCCTCAATGAGTTTTACTGATAAACACTGATGATATTTGCAATATTTGCATAGAAGATTGCGATTGGTCTTCTGTTTTAAATGGATTTAAATAATGAATTATTGTGATTGATCTTTTCTTTCTTACATATAGCCATTAATTTAACATGTTACTATCTGCCTCTTTCCATTTCTCTCTCTAACACTATATTTGTATCATATTACCTAAAATCTGAACAACACTCTTTGCTGCCTTGCAAGTACTGATATTTCAATGTAAATCTAGGTTTATTATTATTATTATTATTATTAATAATAATAATTATTATTTTTTGTTTTCTTCTATGGTACTATCCAATAGCATTTTCTTTATCAGCCCCCAAGAAATGAAACCCTAACTGCTCACTGCAGGGAAGAGTAGTCCCTGCTATGCCATTTAACATCATTTTCCTAAAACAATCAAACTGTTTTTGCAGTTATTGTGCTTGAGTCGTAATCCCAGCTCTGCGTGTTTTAGCTAAAGGTCACGCCTGAGCTGTAATGACCCAGCGGTCTGACGTCTGGTTTTATTGAACCTCTGGACTAAATGCTTTGAGATTGCTTTCATTTGGGCTCATGCACTGGGCTCTCTCTATCAGACTTGTGTGAATAGGCTCTGTCTGTGGGCGAGCACAGAGTCACTCCGGTCTGTCTTTGCCCATCACGACGGGGTCAAAATGTCCCTCAAGGACACCAAATCTCTTTCTGGCTGGCCAACACAAAGGTGACAGTGCTAGAGGTGAGATCAATGTGCCAGCGGGGGGACGAAGATTACAAAGTGAGCGTAGGAATCTTCGGGTATTTACTTCACAAAAACTCACACTTGTAATCCAGCCCCATAATGCCTCTCAGAAATCAGTCCACCTTCAGCCATCTATGTTACACGACAGGATTTCAGTAATCTGTTGCTGTGAAATAGTGTAGTTGTTTAGCATTTAAAGTGCCCATATTATGTTCAATTGCAAGTTCATGATTTTATTTTTGGGGTCTGCTAGAATAATTAATAAATTTCTATATTTCGAAGTGTAAAATAAAACAAAGATTATTGGAGTATGTTTTACAAGAAAATACTATTTCAGTTCTTCTACTTCAAAACTGAACATTAAACCATTTAATCTCAAATTATTCCTAGACATGAACATATCGAAATGATGTGTCATTTGAAATAATCAATAATTATTATTCTTTTTTTTTATTTGAATGGAAAATTATTTGAAAATTTGTGTTTTATGTTTGGTCACAATTGTGACCGGTGGGATAATGTGTATACTGAACTAAAATATTTCTGCTGTCATCAAAATTCTTACATATCTCAGCCCAGTTATTAACACATTTTAAACCCATTTCATCAAAAAATTATACATCACTGACAGGAATACTGAGATCAAATATTTTTAAAAATCACATATTTCAAAATTGTTAATTTATTGCAACATATATCATAACAATGTTATATTAGTGCAACCAGTATTAAAACATCAATATTGTAACTTATTTGTAACATTTGAACTTTTAAATTAGTGCAATATTCAATGTAACTTTGTCATTGCGACATTTTAGTGCCACCTTCACTAACAACTGTAACTGGATGTATATCTATACCTAAATGTTCTGTATTATCCCAGTGGTCACTATTGTTGCCATCAACGTGTTTACTCATTCTATGACCACACTCAACAAAACTAAATAATTTTGAATTCATATATTAAAGGGGTCATATAATGCTGCTAAAAAAGAACATTATTTTGTGTATTTGATGTAATGAAATGTGTTTATGCGGTTTAAGGTTAAAAAAACACATCATATTCCACATACTGTACGTTATTGTTTCTCCTCTGTTTGTTGCCCTGCCTTTCTGAAACGCGTCAATTTTTACAAAGCTCATCGGTCTGAAAAAGCGAGTTGTGCTCTGATTAGCCAGCTATCCAGTGCGTTGTGATTGGCCGAATACCTCAAGCGTGTGACGGAAATGTTACGCCCCTTACCAAATTGTGATGATGCCCTTTCAGGCTGGAGCAATGATTCAAAAACATGAAAACCCATTATAAATGAGGCATTCGTTGCATCCAGTGGGGACATAATTATGGATTATAATGACTTATACTGTCTATTTACACGTTGCGTTGCATCGCACCGCGTAAACATAAAACCATGTCTACATTTGTGATTGGAGAAGCTTTCACAACGAAAAACACAGCGGCCTAGCGTGAGCGGAAGCCCCGGCTTAGCGTGGAGCCCCGGCTTAGCGCTGAGGCTGGGCTGAACTCCGCTTCGTCCACAGTGAAAGTTGAAGTGTTTCCTCAACGACCAGCACAGATCAGCTCTAGGCATGACGAAGCGGATATCGTCCTCTTTTGGAAGACCAAACTAAGTAGTTTCGCTTTCACAACGAAACACACAAAAAAAAACAAAATTTTTGTTATTCTATACATTGCAGTAACACCTCTTTTATCCACTGCTTGAAACACTTTGTTTAGCTCCTGTCTCTTTAAATCCAGTGCTGTGTTAGAAATCGCCCAATATACCCTCATTCACTATTCCCTATATTAATCCACTAATATATCCCAATTGAATGACTGAATAATAAATGAGTTAGTAAATTCGGACACTGAATGCTCTGGAAGGGCTGCTGCTTTTGCATAGTTTGTGCTTTACGTTTAATAACCATTTGAATCTTGGCAAACTGGCTGTTCCAATAGCAGCGAAAAGATTTATCTTGAACTCTATCATGAAAACTAGCTGCTATAAACCTTAATTAAAATATTTAATGATCAATTAAAATGAAATTTATACCTGTATGATATTAAGCTGTACCCACATTGGACCAGCGGTTTGGAAAATGGATGGATGATTCTGCTGCAGGTGCTATCTTCTGGCGAGATGCAGGAAATCATTCGGGACGACCCTTATAGTGCATTATGGGTAGTCTCTAACCATGTACATCGGTTGTACACTCATTATGGGATTGAATGAGTGCACTTTGTGTTTTGTAAATTGTTTACATGCACATGCAGTTACTGTATATTACACATTAAGTGAAAGGTAAAATTAAAAATAATAATAATAGGTGCCCTTTAATATCACTCAGCATCCAAGATGACTGAATTTTCCTGGTTATTTCAAGATAAAGGACTGGTTCACTCCAAATGTAAATTCTGTCATGTCTTCTGTTAGCGCTAGTGTTCTGTGCGTCAGGTCTCGGTCTGGAGCTTTTGAATGGAATCGTGTCATTAGGCCCTTGCTGTGTCCACATCAAGGATGTAGAGTGGTCCTGCTGGCCTGCAGGCTGTGAAGTTCAATCGTGATCTCTGTTCTTCTGCCCGCTCTCGCTCAGGTGTGAGGAGTCTGCAGCAGTTTTCGTTTGTGGGACAGGACTGATAACCTCACTGGCTCCAAAAGCCTTCAGTGGAGCCAAAAGTCAAGGGCATTATGGCAAAGGAACATCAGAAAAGCTACGGCTGAATCATTATATCACAGCCTTTGATGTGTTGGGGAAGCATTAAAGGTTCACCCAAAAATGGAAATTCTGTCATAACTCACCCTTATGTTGTTCTAGATTTATAGGAGGTTATCTCTTCTGTGGAATAACAAAGGACACAGATGATATACTGTAGAATTTTCACATCAGAAATTATTTAGTGGAAAGGACAAAAAAGGGTCCTTAAAAGTACCACATGAAATCCAAATGAGTGTGCTGTAATCCATTTCTCCCAAACTGGGCAACACTTTATTTCAATAGTCCACTTTAGACATTCTGCTAGCTATAACTTTGCAACTACCTGTACAGCAGTTGTAACTGTAACTTGTAAGTGTAACCAACTGTAGTTCATTTGCAACTAACTCTCTTTAGAGTATTAGTAGATGGCAGTGCCGATCCTAAACTTCTGGGGGCCCTATGCAAAACTGGTTATGCTTATGAACGAATGAATGAATGAAACAAATTTGTTCGTGTTTTACTCCGTATCAAATCGCGCTTGCAGAAAGCACTTGAGAAAAAGTGTGTCTCTTCCGTGTGTCTCTTCGGTTTTTTTAGTCTCAAGCAAGACTGTCCGACATTCACATTAGACACACATGATTTGACTGATTTTTACGTAGAAAGGGCGACAGCGCACCACATTAAAAGAAATGATCATTCATGTTTTCATAACCGCTGGCCAAATTCAAAAATGAAACAAAAATTAAATCATCTTTGAGAGCAAGGGGGCCCCCTGGTGTTTTGGGGGCCCTACGCAGCTTGGTATCTTGCGTATAGGGAGGATCAGCTGTGGTACACGTTTATGGTTAGGGTTAGTAGAACAAGTTGACATACTTGCAAAGTTGCTTATAGTCAGTAGAATGGCTGTTGGGGAGCATCAAAATAAAGTGTGAGCAGATATTAAGCATTACTCTAATGACTGCTTTAGTTGACATGTAGTTGCAAAGTTACTTATAGCTAGTAGAATTTCTAAATTGGACTTTCAAAATAAAGCGTTACCCTAAATTGTGTTAAATAAATCTTTGTGTCATGCTAGGTTTGACATCAGTGCAGCCAAATGTATGGTGGCCGAGAGAGCTCAACGCGCTGCAAATGAAAAAACACATGCAAATAGAAAAAACACTATTTGCAAATTAAGCACTTTATAACATCTTCATCAATTTGACAACACACGCGCTGCAAATGCTCACAACACAACCAAATAAAGAAACATGCTGCAAAAACAGAAATGCACTGCGAATTCTCACAACACAAACAAATAAAGAAACGCGCTGCAAATAGGCACAGACCACATCGGAAATGTTTAAGGGAACTGCAAAGTGACAAACATGGCTGGGACATATTTATCAATGTTTGCTCTGAAAGATGAGATTTGTGTTTATTCTAACATAATCTGATCATACGATTCCTTTGCTTCTTTTTCTTCTTCTTCTTTTTCTTTATTTGGTTGTGTTGTGAGCATTTGCGACACGTTTCTGTTTTTGCAGCTCGTTTCTTTATTTGGTTGTGTTGTGAGCATTTGCGGCGCGTTTCTTTGTTTGTGTTGTGAGTATTTCCAGCACATGTGCTCTCAAACTGATGAAGATGTTTTCTTAATTTGCTGGTGCTTTTTCTATTTGCATGTGTTTTCTGAAGTTACAGCGTCTTGAGCTCTCTCGGCCACCATACAAATGGCATTGGTTCTCACATGTTTTGTTTGACAGCTACATGTAGATTTTTTTTTAACGACTGAAATTTTGTTTTTCCTTAAAAAAAATAAAAATAAAGCTGTCATGCATTTTTAGAACACTTACAATATGGTCATATAAATTGTATTTATGGTGGTTTTTGTTGTCTTTTGGGTTTGACAGTGCCTAGTTACTTCATGATCTTCAGCTCAGGAACTCTGTGATATTATATCTATTTCATACCATGATTTGAATTAGCATTTTTGCTGCTGTCAAAATTGACCAGCATGCACAAGCAGTCATTTCTCCCTCAAGCTACATTTTTAATGCATGGGGGGAAAATGTGGCATTATTATTATTTTAATTTGTGCAGCTATGGGCACAACTCACTAATACAGAATGAATGAGTGGAACAAACAAGAAACATTTGTATAAAGGTTTTTTTTGGTAACACTTTATTTTCAGGGTCCCCTTCAGACATCCACAGTATAAGTAACTTTGCAACTCCATGTCAAGTAGTAGTCATTAGAGTATTAGTAGACTGTCTGCTTAATATCTGCTAACACTTAATTTTGATGGTCGTCTGTACTATAAGTAACATCTCGTTACGTATGTAACCCTCATTCTCTGAAGAAGGGAACGGAGACGTTAAGTCGACACTGATGTTATGAGATCTCGCTTGGGAGCCCATTCACCTCTGAGTAGTATGACAAAAGGCCAATGAGAATTGGTGAGTAGAATTTGCATGTCAAGTCAATCCCCCTACATATGGGTATATAAGATGCATGCATCCACTCATTCAGATTTGTGCTAAGGAGCTGAGAACGAGTCCCAGCCTGTCAGTGGTAGTTCAAGGTTGTGACACGAGGGACGTAACGTCTCCGTTCCATCCTTCAGGGAACGAGGGTTACATACATAACTGAGACATTCCCTTGCAGTCAGTCACGTTCAACGTTACGTTGACAGAGGCGTTATGGGTTCCCTGTGGAAAGCGCCACAACCAGGAACTGTGTTATGAGGATAGCGATGCAGGTGCTGGCAAGTGAGCATGCCAAGACAAATCTAGTTGCAAGGCATAACCATCCCAACGCCCCCAGAAGCAAATAACCCAGAATGGGAATTTTGAGAAATTTGTTTCTTCTTGGTCTCTAAATTTACAGCAGCCAACTACATCGGGGAAGTGAAGCCACATCCTACCCAAAGGGAGGTAACATGTGGAGATACCCATATGGACTGACCAAGGAACAGTACAACATATGGAGTCCACTGCGGAAGTACATCCTAACAGAGGAGGAACAGCTAGCAATGCAGGGACAGACAGAGGAACTCCAGGGAAAGACACAGGTTCACCAAAAAAAGGGGAACCATACTCTGGAAAAACACATACAGGATTACCCGAAGGGAATCTCAGTATGGACACCTAGCCCAGCACAGGGCTGACCAAAGGGCATACAACACAAGTACTGAGCCTAGTGAAAGACTCCTCCACCAAGCTTGATGCCGAGGGGTGCTAGAGGACTCTATTAGCGCTTTTCCACTGCATGGTATGGCACGGTACGGTTCACTTTTGGGGGGTTTTCCACTGGGTACAGTACCTGGTACCTGGTACTTTTTTTAGTACCACCTCGGTTGAGGTTCCAAGTGAACCGTACCATTACCAAAATGTGACGTGTAAACTCTGCAGATCATGGATTGGCCGGAGAGAATCGTCACTACCTGCGTCACTGAACTTGCGACACAAACACAAAAGAACCACTAGATTTAAATCAGCACAGCCAGCGAAGGATCGAACGCAACTGTTTTGAACGAGCACGCCTTTTTTAACAACCAAAAAGTGGTTGTTTCGTTGTCTGTTGAGGAAGTACAGACGTTCCTCTCATTGATAGCAGAGGAGCGGATCCAGCGAGCTTGATGGGGCGATGCGGAATGAAAAAGTTTTTCAGGAGTCGCGGCAGTAGAGGTGGCACAACTATAACGAATAATCCCACCCACTCTAAAGCGATACTAAACTGCAGTGGAAACGCAAACCGAGCTGTGCCGTGTCGTGCCGAGCCGAGTCATACCACACAGTGGAAAAGCGCCATAACAGGGTTGGTCAACTGGAAAACTTACTGACAGATTAATTAGCACCTGTATCTCCTGCTAAGGTTAATGGTGCTGCAGGTATGACACCGAGCCATTCTTCCCCCCCATTACCTACTCATACCCAACTCAAGGAAAGAAACTGGTTCCACCTGGAGATGATCAAATCTTGCGAAGGTATTAGTTATCGCCCAGGCCACAGCTCTACAAATGTCTGCTACAGAGGAGCTGTGCGCCAACACACAAGAGGAGGCCATACTCAGAGTGGAGTGAGCCCTCACTCCCAAGGGACATAGCTCGCCTTGAGTACGGTATTCCAAAGTGATGGCGTACACTAGCCAGTGGGCCAACCTCTGTTTGGAGACAGCCTTTCCCTTCTGCTGACCTCCAAACCAGACAAAGAGATGATCGGAGCTTCTAAAGCTCCTTGTGCATTTCACATAGATATGCAAGGCACGAACGGGGCACAGCAATTCAAGGGCTGGATCTGCCTCCTCCAATGGCAGTGCTTACAAGTTCACCACCTGATCCCGAAAAGGGGTGGTGGGAACTTTGTTCACATATCCAGATCAGGGTCTCAGTATTATATGAGAATCAGCTGACCCAAACTCAAGGCACGTTCTGTCGACCGAAAATGCTTGCAGGTCCCCCACCCCCTTGATGGAAGTGAGCGCAGTCAGGAGCGCTGTCTTAAGGGACAGGATCTTAAGCTTGACTGACTCGAGGAGCTCAAAGGGAGCCTTCTGTAGTCCAGCAAGGACCACAGAGAGATCCCAAGAGGGGATGAGGCGATGTCTTGGAGGGTTTATCATTTCAAGGTCTTCTTTAAAGAAATAATTGTAACTTTGTTGAAGCGTTCAGCTCTGAAGCAAAATCTGAATGAGTGGATGCATGCCACCAGCTTATGTACCACCAGTATGTAGGGGGAGTGGCTTGGCATGCAAATTCCACTCGCCAGTTCACATTAGCCTTTTTAAATACTACTCAGAAGTGATTGGGCTCCCAAGCGAGACCCCATAATGTCAGTGTGGATGTAATATCGAACGTGACTGACTGAAAAGGAACTTTGCTAATACATGTCAACTTACCCTAACTCAACAGTCTACTAATACACTACTAATACTCTAATGATAGTTCATTGACGTGTAGTTGCAAAGTTACTTACAGTCAACAGAGTGTCTAAAGGGGACCATCAAAATAAAGTGTTAACTTTTTTTTCCCAAAATTCACCAATTGACATAGAATGAGTTCCAGTTAGAAGTTAGTAGCACTTTAAAAATGTATTTACTGTCTTTTATGTGCACATGTGGTCACAACTAACAACTTTCAAAATCCCATGTGACATATCTTGCCATGGGTTTAAAAATGAATCATGAGGACACATTACCCAGGATCATAAATGGCAAAATTATGACCTTGAAGTGACTATTGTTTGTACACTTCACTAATGGCCACTAATGAAAGGGGTCTGAGGTGAAGGTTGCCGGGTCAGATCGGGTCAGTCATCGGCGCACCCGACCCAGCAGTGACACCCTTTGTTCATGCATAAGAAGTCAGAGACATGTAGGGTTTTGTCCATGTGTATTCCCGTTGGCCAGCATACAGTAGCAAGCCACATCAAAGACTGTCAGCTGCTGCATGAGGAAACATCCATCAATGTTGAGCGCCTTTGTCACTTAAGACAGTGTAAATGGAGAGGAGCTCACCTGAGGGACGAAATAAGGCCCCTGCACTCTTCTTACATGGATTGTAAACTGTTATTGATTCTCTTTCCTGTAGGTTGTAGCACTCGGAAAGAACAGTCGCGGCTACCATTATGTTATTGCCAATCTGGTGAGTTTCAGCACCTCCGTACTCTAACTAAAGAAGAGAGATTTCAGAAATAATGCAAATTCAATGACAAATAAGAGCGTTCAAGATGAAGATACTCTGTTAAACATCCACAACAAAACATGCACCAAAGGAGTGTAATATATGTATTTGTTTGTTTTACTGTAATTTTTATTTGATTTTCAACTAAACTTAATAACTCTAAAAATGCAAGTGTAATCAGTAAAAAGTAAAAAGAAATGTATTTTTCTACAAACTTTCGATATACATGAGTGTATTTTTTTCCTTAAAGTGATGTATTCGAATCAAAAATATCGGTTTTCTTATGGTTCTACCAATTTGACAACCTTATATAATATATAACATGCATTTAAACTCAATGGTCCACAATGGTTATAAGGAGCCCCAGTGATGTCCCCTTTTGGGTTTTGAACCAGAAACACTGAGATCCATTTTCATATGATGTTAAATTGCCATCATCTCATGGATCCTAAACTTGCTTCTTTTCCATCATCTCTTTCCACAGGGCTTAACCAACATCAGCCTGGACAAGGTCTTTCTCGGCGGAGCAAACATTAGTGGCTTCCAGATAATCAATCCTGAAAACTCAGTTGTACAACAGTTTCTCCAGAGATGGGACCGTCTAGATGAAAGAGAGTTTCCTGAAGCTAAAAACACACCTCTGAAGGTCTGAAACTACTACTTAAAAACAACAACAATCAATCATTGTTGTTGTCTCTTCTTCTTCTGATCTTTGACTTTTTCTTGCTTTGCCTGATTTCTTTATTTTCCTTCGTTGCAACAGTCAATATATTGACAATCATTCCAAGGTGCTATTAAAACCGGGGCTCAATTTACGTCTAATTAAACAATGATCATGAGATGAATAGATTTTAAAAGCTGTTTTAATTAAGGTTTTATTGTGGATGGGTGGGTAAAAAATGGCCATGCTCTCATTGAACTGATGAGCAGGTTTAAAAACACCTGAATGTTATAAGAATGTCCAAGTCACCCAAAAAATCAAGGGAAAAAATTAATTCTATTTCGCTTTTTTTAGTTTTTTAATTAAGGTTTTAGGCACCCAGTACACATATTTTGCATTGTGACATTATTTTTATGAAAATTAAGTACATTTCACACAATAGGCTCCTTTTATTTTTATTGATTTATTTTTACAAACACAATGTTTTCTTTACGAGTTTTATTAAGATCTCACTGTGGAAATTTGCACTTGCAGCCAAACACATTTTCCAAGTCTTTTCCAGGACAGTATTTTAATGAAGGCATCAGAAAGCAATTTAAATTGTGAATGTAAAGGCACAATGTCTCCTTTGATTTTACCTTTGTTATATTACGTTTATTTTAGTCGCTAAGTTCCTCGCTGCAGTCGCTTTGAAATACAAAACAATACAATAGTGTAGCTCACGGCAAATTAGCAGATGCCAGCTTGTTCTCTTTTCTTGGTTGAAATGAGATGTAATTACAGGTTGCACCCATGAACAACAATAGCAGCAAAACCCTGTAGAGTCTCACATAACTAAACATTTTACATATCTCTGTAATTAGAAACCTGTTTAACACTCTTTACATAGCATGAAACAATGTACAAGATACATCCCTGAAGTGTGTCGTCTTTTGTTGCATTTGCCAACTATGATTACATGCAGTAATGCAATTATCCTTCATTATGTACATCAACATGTGTTTAGACCTGCAAGAGGGCAGCTTATTTTATCCCTCTTCAAAGTGTTGTAGCGTCTGCGTAGGATCATGCATGATAGTTGGACTGTTTATGGCTTAAAAGACCCCTTTTAGCCTTTTGACATTTGCATATAAATTACAGTTCTGGTCAGGAACTTTACGTTCGTATAAGGGCTTACATATAATGTGTTTGCTTATTTTAAACTGCTCTAACAAATAACTGTTAATGTGAGGTGCTTAACGGTTGTTGTGTACAGTACACTTCAGCGCTGTCTCATGATGCTATCCTGGTCATTGCGGAGGCGTTCCGGTACCTGCGACGCCAGCGAGTAGATGTGTCCAGACGAGGCAGTGCAGGTGATTGCCTGGCTAACCCTGCGGTCCCTTGGAGCCAAGGCATCGACATTGAACGAGCTCTCAAAATGGTAAAATGTCTATCTTTTCTTTTACTCATGCACGATTCTGAGTGCTTTAGCTTTTCTGAAAATGACAATAACCATTTGAAATCTCTCAATGTGTAATTCAGATTGTCAGAGTGAGTACTCTGAAATTAATTTAGCCTCCGTATGATTCATTTGTGTTACTCCAACACATCCTAATGTATTCCTAAAAAGTTTCAAAGCACTATTGTTATTTTGCTGGTTTCTTTGTGTTGTTATTGTTTCTGGCAGGTCCAGGTGCAAGGGATGACTGGCAATATCCAGTTTGACAGCTTTGGTCGCAGATCAAACTACACTATTGATGTTTATGAAATGAAAACAGGTGGCCCAAGAAAAGTAAGTCATAAGTAAATCTGTCCATTTTGTTGGGTAAGCTTTGTACAAGTCAGTGTGAGAACTCAAATGGGTCCATTTCAATATGTATATGCTGGTTTACTGGTTTAAAGGGGTCATATGATGCGATTTCAATTTTTCATTTCTCTTTGGAGTGTTACAAGCTCTTGGTGCATAAAGAAGATCTGTAAAGTTGCAAAGACTAAAGTCTTAAATCCAAAGAGATATTCTTTATAAAAGTTAAGAGTCAGCCACGCCTACCTAAAACGGCTCGTTCTAACACCCCCCCACATGTCTACGTCACTATGTGGGAATATTTGCATAACGCCACCCAAATGTTCACGCAAAGAAAGAAGGCGTAACTTTTAGTATTGTTGTTGCCGCAATGTCGTGGAGACTCTGTGTGTTTCATTGTGAAAGCGAAACTACTTTGTTTGGCCTTCCAAAAGAGGACGATATCCATTTCGTCATGCCTAGAGCTGATCCGTGCTGGTCGCTGAGGGAATATATCAACTTCGCGCTGTGGCTCGCTGGATCAGCTTTCACCGTGGACGAAGCGGAGTTCAGCACGGGGTCGTCACATCTGGTTGCCGCAAGCCCGCCGGCCGTGCCGTTCTCAAGCCCGCCAGCCGCCACCCACTCTAGCCCGCCGTGTGTTTCGTTGTGAAAGTGAAACTACTTTGTTTGGCCTTCCAAAAGAGGACACAACTAGAAATCAGTGGTTAAGTTGTATTTACAACACTGTTCCAGAACAGTTCAACCCAAATATTCAGATGTGTGCAGCGCATTTTATGGAGGATTGTTTCCTGATCCTGGAAGAGTAGACTACAATGCCGGCTGTTCTGACTCACAGATTAATTTAATGGAATTGCCACTGATTATTCAAACGCGAGTTTTGAGCAGTGTAGAGTAGCGCTTGTTGTTTGTCATTTCTCCGATCACAAATGCAATGGTTTTATGTTTACGCGGTGTGATGCAACGCAACCGGTAAAACGACAGTATAAGTCATTATAATCCGTAATTATGTCCCCACTGGATGCAACAAATGCCTAGTTTATAATGGGTTTTAATGTTTTTGTCTCGTCGCTCCGGCCGGACAGGGCATCACAGTATGGTAAGGGGCGTAACATTTCCGTCACACGCTTGAGGTATTCGGCCAATCACAAC